GTTTCGAACCTTGCTTTGTACTTTCTTCTTCCAATCTTAATCATTATGGGCATATTTTGTTTAGGCGGAGGATTATTCGACCCCTTATCTGTTGTCGAGTTTTCAACCTAGTACTCTATGTTCAGAAGCCCAACGTGCTGTCTACCAACTCGACCAGTCTAAGTCCATACGTAATAAAAGTTGCGTTCAAATTTCATTTCATAAATACCTTCTAAATGCAAATATGGGGTTCAAACCCCGGCTTTGCACATGGTTGTTTTTGTGGTTCGGAATCCACTTCAAACCGTAGGTCCCGGTCCTAACAGGGATCGTGGAGTGCTGCGGGGGCATTGTTGCCCCTCATCCGTGGCTTACCATCAAGTTTCACGCGCCCCTTGGGTAATGCAAAGTGAGTAACATTGGTGCAGCCCTTAAGGCGAAGATAACGGTCTATGTGCCAGCTGCATTAGAAGAAAAAATACAAATATGTATAAATGATTAATTTATGCGCGGAATAAAACAATTAGCGCTAAAACGGACAAGAATATGAGCATTCTTATAAAAAATGTGCATTGCTTTCCTCAATAAATAATGCATGCGAATAAGTACATTTTCTCTTAAATCAGAAAGTAGTTTCAGGCAGAAAACCGTATTCCGATGCAGACAAAACATCATTCCTTACTGGTCGATTATTCTCACTCCGAATCAAGTCTTAGCACTTTTGTTGAATGCCTCTTTTACTTTGTGTTGCAAAGCTTCTTCCCCCCCAGTCTGCTTTACTTTTGCTTTATCCCCGAAATACCTTTTCTGTTAAGTAAGAGATTCCTTTCCTTAACGAACAGGGGAAGGTGGAATTCTTCTTTCCTTCTTGCAACATTAACCCCGAAGGGAATCCAGAGTAACTAGTTTTGGTATTACTTTATAAAAAAAGCTAATAGAAAATAAATTAATAGTTTAAAAAAACTAAAAACACGCTTTTAGAGTTAATCAAATTAAAAGTAAAAAATAATTGTTAATATAAGAATAAAATGACTGACGAGAAAATGAATGTCACTGTTCTACGCTTTTAGAACAGTGATATTCATTTTCTCGTCAGTCATTTTATTATTATGTTAACAATTATTTTTTACTTTTAAATTTGATTAACTCTAAAAGCGTGTTTTTTTTTAGTTTTTTTAACCTATTACTTTATTTTTTAGTTTTATTAACTCTAAAAGCGTGTTTTTTAAACTGTTAATTTATTTTTTACTTTTTAGTTGATTAACTCTAAAAAGCGTGTTTTTTAAACTATTAATTTATTTTTTACTTTTCAGTTTGATTAACTCTAAAAGCGTATTTTTAGTGTTTTTTAAACTATAATATTTAAATGTGATCCCAGTAAGGAGGACTGGTTCCTACAATAATTTAATTGCGAGTAAAAACAAAGGCTAAATGCGAATGACGAGCCAGCCAGGATTCGAACACGGAATATCCTAATCCGTAGTCAGGGGCGTTATCTGTTGTGCCGCTGTCCCACGTAGATGTCTGTAAATGTTTCTTTGCAGCTTATAGAGAGTGTATGAGAAGAAACAGGTCTTCAGGGGAAAAAGGATCGCCGATCAAGATGATTTTTCAAATGCTGTGTGTTTTAATCACTAATCCTGGCGATCGTAATCATGATGAGATAATAAATTTATCAAAATATTTTAGTGTTGTCGGTCCTGTTAAGTCTACAACGTTTAAATTAAATCAGATCGCTTAAAGTATGGCAAAAATCGAGCCCAAAGAGTCAGTTAAATACATACAAACAAACAAACATACAGGTGAAACTAATAAAAGCGTATTAATAAAATGTCTTCATTTTTACCATACTTTGTGGTGATTAAGAATTTAATCTTTTGTGGTTCTAACCGTTTTTCTACTTTTATTTATTATTAGTAACTCATAATAACTAATAATTAATATATTATATATATAAAATATAGTAATAATTAATTAAATAACTAATAATAATATATTATACATTTAATTTCTTAATTATTATATTTCTAGTCCATAAATACTTTTTACAAAAATCATATAAATTTGAAATGTACCTTTTGAAGTTAAGCAAAATTATATCTATAAAAACGTTTAGCAAAATTAAAGTAAAGTTATTTTTGGGCTGAACTATTATTGAAGATTAGAACCGAAGTGATAGGATGGACATTAACAGTTTTTTTCAATATAAAAAATGGTTAAATCGAAACTCGGCAAGTGATGGCGAAATTAAAACTGTAGAAATGTGTAGAAATGGCTTTAATAATCCATTTGGCTCATTGAGGGATTAACAAAAGTGTGAATGATCCATATACTGTGTTAGTTCAAAATCAACGTGGCACAATGTGGGTGCAGGTATATATACACTCAAGAGCCAAAACATTATGACCACCTGTCAATAACGAATTGGCCACCCTTTGGCGCGCAACACAGCTTCGACCCGCCTTGAATGGATGCCACAAGTCCTTGGTAGATGGGCGGAGACAGATTGTACCAGATGTGTTTTAAGCAACGGTCACGCAAACTGAGATATTGCGAATTGGTGGTCTTTGAACTCTGAGCTGCCCCTCCCATTACATCCTAAATGTGTTCTATCGGATTGTGATCCAGTGAGTTAGGCGGCCAGGACATTAACTGAATTCAGCATCATGTTCCTGGAACCACTCCAACACAATTTTAGCCTTGTGACAAGGGGCGTTGTCCTGTTGGAACATTCCATTTCCAGCTGGAAAAACAGAGGCCATGTAAGGGTGCAACTGGTCCGCAATGATGTTCAGATACCCTGTAGCATTCGTGGTCTGCTCTACCACAACCACGAGTCCGAGAGACGCCCAAGAGAACGTCCCCCAAAGCATAATACCGCCACCACCGGCCTGTTTATGACCTACTGTACATTGAGGGTGCAACTGTTCGCCTGGAAGACGGCGTATCCTGACACGGCCATCGGCGTGATAAATGACAAACCGTGATTCATATGACCAGGCAACTCCCTCCCACTAATCCATGGAGCAATCACGATGTTCCCGGGCCCAGCGCAGGCGCAGTTGGCGATGACGCTTGGTCAGCGAAGGCACACGAGGGGGACGTTTGCTGCGTAGACCCATATCCAACAGTGTCCGCTGAACAGTGTGCTCCGATACTATTCTAATTGGCCCTGCATTGTATTGGGCTGTCAGCTGAGCCACTGTCCGGCTCCGGTTTTGCTTCACCATGCGAGGCAGTCTCCGATGACCTTTTTTTTTTGATAGCTTATCTTTGATAGTAAGTGAAAGAATGATTCTTCAGACTCTCCAGCAGCAGGTAAATATCACTTCCACCTGATCACGTGCCTTCCACGTCATCCAGGCGAGTTCATTACAAAATGTAGGGGTGGTCATAATGTTTTGGCTCTTGAGTGTATATATATATATATATGTATAAACTAGAATTTGCTGCAAAATGTAATATGGAGCCAAGTGAATTCTTTAAGTGAAAGAAAGTTCTGGGCGTTGTTACTCCATTTTATAAATATTTTAAAAGGATTAAAATATAGTAATTCTTTTAAGACAAATAATTTAAAGACACTAATCCCTTAATCTAGGTAATTTAAAGATAATAATTCCGTAGTTTCATCCCTTGTATCGTCATCTCCGGAAGATGGATGGCAAGAGAGAGAACAACATTAAGTCGAAGATCTGCAAAAACTGGTACGACGTTATAGCGAAAGAAAATAAAAACAAGTACACTCGAAGTGTTTTAGTTAATATATAATAATATAATTTTGATTTAATTAATTTAATTTGATTAATTTTGAAGTCTAATATATAGTTAATATATTATATTAATTATAGAAATACAAGAACGTTGTTATGAGAAAATGTGGCAACTCAGGGTTAATAGGGACTTGTGCAATAACTGAACGTGTTAATTGCATACCTAAAATGCTTATATTAAATGAGATTGATTGATCAAAGTTGTACTATTAATATGTTAAATAGAATTTATCTCATATTTAAAGTACAATATTTTATCTTTCTTATTAGAATTGCATAGAATTAAAATAATAATAATCATAACATTTCTATTTAAATTCTCTGTAAATAATTAACGCAAAATATGTTCTCTTTTAACTAACATATACTCAAGAGCCAAAACATTATGACCACCCCTACATTTTGCAATGAACTCGCCTGGATGACGTGGAAGGCACGTGATCAGGTGGAAGTGGTATTTAACTGCTGCTGGAGAGTCTGAAGAATCATTCTTTCACTTACTTATGTGTGTGATGGGAACGCACACAGAAGTAAGTGAAAGTTGACAGGTGGTCATAATGTTTTGGCTCTTGAGTGTATAATTTCGAGTTTTCACTTGACTGTATTAATAAAATTAAAATCTCTCATAAAACACCCATTAAGTCACAAAATCATATTCGAAATTTAAAGAAACTAGCCCAATTGCCAAGCTAGCAATATAATTAATTAATACAACAACAACATAAATCGTGAAGAACTCGAATTCGTAACATGCGCCAAACAATCTTATGAATCCACTAAAGCGCATATAATTATATGAAAATGCTTTCCCTTTGTTAAAGTTAAGTTTTATAATTGCTGCATTGTTATGATTTACAATATTTGTTTGATCATTATTGAATAACACAATATTTAATTATTTGATTATTGACTGAAATCTTGTATTTGAGTTTATAAAGTATTCTTTATTTATTGATTGATTCTTTGATATTTGGGGACATATATGTAATTAGTTTCCAGTATATTCAATTTATTTTCTCTCGCAGTATTGATTTTATTAATGCAAAATGTACGTTTCTGTCAATTATTAAATTACTTTTTAATAGATATATATATAGATAATTACGCAAATAATAAGGTACGTTTTCCAGCATATAATTTCTATATTTACGCAGTCACCGCTCAACTGATGTGAGGTTTATGTTTTTTACTTAATTAGATGATTTGTTAAAATATATAAATAGGTTATATATAGGATTACATATAGGATTGCCGGCCATACTATGCTGAATATACCGGTTCTCGTTAGATCACTGAAGTCAAGCATCATTAAGGCGCTGTCAGTACTTTGGGGGGTGACCACCTTGAGAACACCGCGCGTGCCGTTGGCATTCACAAATTTGGGACCTGAATGGCCGAGTGTCCTAGCGCCTGGCGCCGGTGCCACAGGTTTCGGGTCGAATCTGGCGGTGCCAAGGATGTTTGTAGTGGTTCAGAATCCACTTTAAGCCGTAGGTCTCGGTCTCCCATCCCTGTAAGAGCGTCACGGAGTCAAAGTCAGACTTCTACCTACGGGTGCTCCATCAGAACGGGAGCTGCTTCCTTCCCCCTCCAATCATGAGTACGTATGGCTCGTGGGCTTGGCCAGCCAAGTGGGATAAGAAACAAAACAAACATATAGGATTTCTAACTATATTATGTAAGACTTCATCCTATCAAATTCAGAAATCACGAAGTCTCATTTTTTCGGATGTAAACAGCATGTAGAATACGTAGATTTTAGTAGAATATACAAATTATGATAGATACTTTTCAGCATAGCAATTTCTATATTTACGAAGTCTCTATTTAAGAATGCAGATATATTATTTTTCATTATTTAAAGAACCATTTGAAATATTGATATTTATATACATATGTAATTATATTAAGTGTATTTCCAGTATATATGATTAACATACTGTAACTCACTTGCTAATGAAACGATGTATGCTTTTTCATTCATTAAAGAACTGTTTGAAATATATATGTATAGCAATAGATTTATACATATCTTATATCCAACATGTATAATACGAAGATTTTGTAATCATTTATACATTGGTATTTGCACCATATATAATTAAATTATTAATTCAAAAACATATAGTTTAAACGTATATTAAATAATTAATTATATTTAATTACGAAGATTTTGTAATCATTTATACATAGGCATTTCATCATATATAATTGTTGCACAAATTTTACTAATATGAAGTTTGTTTTCATTAATTAAATGATTCTTTTTGATTATGTAAATATCATTAAGTTACATATTTATTAAATATGTTTGCAGTGTACTTAATTCCTATATTCATGCAATTATTATGAAAATATATGATTTTTCTAATTAAATAATTATTTTAAAAATATAGAAATCAAAAAATAATATAAAATGTAGAAATGCTACCAGAGTAGATAGTAAGAATTTTTAAATTGAATATTTATTTTTATTTTCTCCAAAGAGCAATATCGGCACGTTTTCTTCATTGCGCTATATTCCGGCACACGAAGTTTAAACAAGTAAATAAAATGAACTTCTGTTACGTTTCTTTTCTCATGGAAGACTTAATCTTGCTTTTGAAATAGGAGAGTCTCATGATAATTGCTAGTTCCCCTATTGATGGATTTTGAAATATAAAATAAGAAATTCTCCTGGTGAACTCTTGAATAAGATTACTTTTTGAAATAAATCAAAATAGATAACATTAAAAGTCCTTGAAATATTTCTGTCTCAAATATTTTGTTTTATTATTTCTTATTTAGAATGAAAAAAAAATATATGATGATCACCTGCTACAAAAGTAATTTAATGTCAGATGATTAATTAAATTTAACACGAAGACATTGTAACCATTTATACGTGGTGTGAAAAAATATTGAAACTTTCAAGATTTTAATTTATGTTAGATTAAAAAAATAACTCTAGAATGCTGTATTCTAAGTCGATTCAATCACAAAAATGACCTAATTCTCGTAATTTTGTCCTTATACTAGTAAGTTTTACCCCCAATTTTGAATAACTTTAGTTGGAAATCGTATCAGAAGAATGATTCTACTGAATTTACTTGTATATGTTTCTTTTTCCCAAAAAACATCACAAAGTAAATTCAGGAGGGGGAAAAAACAAGCACAAAACTTATCATAGAAAATGTCCTTATTTTATAAATATCTGAAATTTACAAAATGCTTATCACTTTAACCAGATATCCTTTTTACACTTAGTTTCAGCGCTAACTAAGGTACTACCGGTCACCCAAATTCTGCTATTCTAATTTTGAGTCTTTGAATTGGCATCTGAGAGTTTGCACCATTCATCCCTTCTCTTTGCAAGCAACCAAACGACATCCTGTCCAACAGAAATTGATTGAAATTGAGACAGATTGTCCAACAGAATTATTATAGAACAGATTTAATTATTATAGAACATTATCATAACTAATATGCACTAATAATATATAATGCACTAAAACACTAATATAAACTAATATGCACTTAGCATGTTATAGCTAATATGCATTATTATAACTAATCTGAACTAATTATTATAGAACATAATTATTGAGCCCAACCGAATTGATTGAAATTGAGACATATTGTCCAACAGAACTATTGTGCTCATCCCGATGTAAACACAGAAGGTTTCGGTTTGTCTCAATTACTCAGATTCTGACACAGATGGTGAATTGAAAGTTGCTGCTTTTATATCTATATTTTCTTTTCGAAATATTTGCTTCCCAAGTAGGTATCTTTCATTGGAAGAAGTATATGCAGCGGATAAGTGACTCAACTCACTTGTATGTACTAATTTAATGGAAGAAATTGATGTTGTCAACCAATTAGCGTTCCTTGATCATTACACACGATTGTTGGAAGATTTCTTAACTCAAAACAAATTAATCTAAGGCAATGCCATACATTTTTTCTTCTAATGCAGCGGGCAAACACTTAGACAACTTGGTCTTAGATGCCTTAAGGCAAGCGCTGCACAGATGTTACTCACTTTGCATTACCTAGGCGGCGCTTGCAACTTGAAGATAAGCCACGGAAGTGGAGTAACAATGCCCACAAACGCTCTACAATCCTATTAGACCGGGACCTGCGGTCTAAAGTAAAATCCGGAACCATTACAAATATCCATGGCACCGCCGGGATTCGAACCCGAAACCTGTGGTACCGAGCGCCAGAGCGCTAGCCACCTCGGCCATTCAGGCCCCACAATACAATAAATAAAACTATTTATGTTACTAATACGTTTGATCCGTCTTGAAGTACATAAGCGACAAATATTATCGTTTTTTATAATCTTTCCAATTAAATGTCCAACACATATCAGTAGATCCACAAATTATTAATAAATACAAACATAACCCTTAAATAATAATCTATTTAATTTTATTAAATTAGATTGATCAAGTACGATATCATAGATTAATATTTAAAGCGATAGCGTGAATTAATAATAGTATGATAAAATGTATATTTTTTTTTTTGTTATAACGTACGAATAATGTTAATTCGAATTTAAAAAAAAAAAAAATATTTTAATTTCCCAAATTACGTTAAACAGTTTATTTCATTATGATTCTTTTATAATTTAACTTCTTACATATATGTATCACTTAATTTCTAAATGATAGTTGAAAAGTGATAATTATAAAAATATATTTCGCTAGAGTTCATTTTGTTATTCAGCAAAGACATTTTAAAATTTATAGTTTACAGTAAAATTCTTATTTACTTCGTTTATACTTTTTAATAATTATATTGTTAAATAGGTTTTTTTATATAGCATATAATTATTTTATAAGATACATATTTTACCTTGATTGAATGTCTATATGAATTCAAAATGTTTTCATAGAAAATATAAGTAGATAAATGTATTGCTTATTCTGATTAAAATTTACAAGCCAAATACAAATTTACTGATTTTTTTATCTAAACACTTAAAAACCGAAAACAGTTTTCTAAATCGCAACAACATGTTTTCTCCGCTGTTTGTTTAATAATTCAATTTCAAATATATTTTGTGTTGGTGTATAAAAACAGGCCCGAATTCACCTAAGAGCTTTTTTTAGAAAAGTAATTATTTATAATAATATTTAAAACATCGAATTATAAGTTTGAATAATTTAACTTTCCAACTTATTAATAATTTGAATAATAGTCTCTACACTCAGATTGCATATATAAATATATAATAACAGTTACATATATAAATAACAATACTCAGATTATATATATAAATAACAATACTCAGATTACATATATAAATAACGATTTAGTTCGTTTTTTTTGATAAAAAATAGCAGATTACGAATAAGACCCGTATTAATTAAATTTTATTATTAGACAAAAACAATGCGATTTCATTTTTTCTATATTTTTATAATCCTTTAAGGTGTTTTCTATAATTTTGAGCGCAAAAAAAAAAAATTTTGATTGTTTTTCCAAATTTTCTCTTCAAGATTGAATTAAGATATGTTTTTTAAGAGCAATCTTTCCAGCAACTTCTGTAAAGAAATAAAAAAATTGGTTTTCTAATGAAGAAAAAACTAATAAAAATAATAAGATAAATTGTCAAATTTTTAAAAAATTATCCAAATTCAAATTATAAATATCCTCTGAGCGAAAAACATAATTATGTTAAAATAATTAACAATCAAGCTGAATTATTATTTTTACAAAGATATTCATTAATCACTAGATTTCCTCTCATGTAATACACTCATGTCCATAAATTTATGATAATTCAGAATCACACAGAAATTGAACTCTAAAATAAAAATTTGACCTGTAGAATTATCACACTCATCTTGAAGAAGAATATGCAATTACGCAGGAAACCACCAGATGGCGCGAAAAGTACGTCTCAATGTCGAGAGTGTAAGAGAGGGGTATATAAGGAATGCGGTGGCAAAAGAAGTAAATTGTTCACAAGCGCTTTAAAAGCCTTTCAGTGTAATAACCGCTTAGTTATGGCACAAAGGAAGCATTTGGATGATTTTTTACGTGGTATATTTACCGGACGACTGAATGTGGACGTACCCAGCTGAAGTATCCGAGGAACATGGAATCGCCCAGAGTGTCCTCTCCAGGCTTTGGAAGCGATTCCAAGATGATCGTAATGTGAGTAGATGTTACAGCACAAGTCGGCCCCGAGTTACAACGCCGAATGAGGACCGGTATTTGGCAGCTACGCCAAAAGAAACAGACGGAGCACATCAACAGACCTGTCTCGTCAGCTCTCTTCAGCTACCGGTACGACAGTTTCCAAGGCAGACCGTGTACAGACGCTTAGGCACATTGGTCTATATGCTCGTAGGCCTGTCA